TTTTTTTTTTAATATCATTTTACCTTCTTCCTCTGTTTCTTTCTTGCTTTCTTTTTCTGGTGCGGGAATGATCGTCCCCCTGGTGGCCTCCGAACTTGAACGTGATGGCAGTTGTGTGTATTTTCATTGTCCCCCTGGTCTGTCTGTCGGTCGGTCAGTATGTCTGTATGTCTGTCTGTCTGTCTGTCTGTCTGTCTTACTATCTGTCTGTCTGTTCACAGGATCCTGTCTGTCTGTAATTCTGTTTGTCTGTCTGTCAGTCTGTCTGTGTTCCTGTCTGTCTGTTTGTCTGTCTGTCAGTCTGTCTGTTCGTGTGTCTGTCAGTTAGTCTGTCTGTCTTTCAGTGTGTCAATCAGTCTGTCTGTCAGTCTGTCTATCAGTGTGTCAATCAGTCTCTCTGTCGGTCTGTCTCTCTGTAGGTCTGTCTGGATGTGTGTCCCTGTGTTAGATTGTCGGTCTTTCTGTCTGTTGAACAAACAGTCTGTATGGATGACGTGCTCCCACACATGGCTCCCGAAATTGACCTGTCCAGCAGGTGGTGACAGTCTCTACCAACAGGTAATCACCAAGGTCGATTGAGCTCATGAAGTAGCGGTGAGTGTTCAGAATTCTGCGAATCTCATCACACACATCTCGCCTGCCATACCCTCGCACTCCAGTTGTTGCCCCTATCTTATGTGTTGACACACACACAATCACACACACACACACGTTGTTGGACGCCGCCCTGTGGCTTTCAGGAAGTTTATGGTGAGTGTGGCGAAGGGATGGGACATGCTTGTTGAAGGGGCGAACGACGAGTTGAAGAGGGGTGCTGCAGAAACACTAGTGCTGTCCAGAATCAAGGACATGACACAAACACCGCCCCAGGACTTTCAAGAGCTTCCCGTGATTGTTGCAGACGGTGTGGAATATGTTCTGCTTGATCAGCTATGTGACCTCATGAACAAGACAGAGGACGACAGGAACGTCATTCATGAGGCCTTGCACGAAGTCACAGAGTACGCCATGCAAGGTCGAGATCTCATTGATTTTGTGCTGGCGTCAGCAGGAGAGGAGATYATTAGTGGCAGACCATTGTGGGGGGGCTTGTTGGGTTGTGCTCTGGAGCGGCTTGGTCTTGCAACCTGCGATGTTGAGAGACAGAGAGAAAGGGAAGAGGGTTGGAGGCTGATTGTCAGCGAAACAAGGTTACCGGTCATTGAAGAAATCGGGGAGACATCAGCAGCACAAGATACGAGTGGGACGATGGTGCTCGACGTGTTTACCATGCACACATCAACGACAGAGGACTTGGTGTATATGGACATGTGCGAGGGTTTCTTCTTAGGGGAACAACAGTTGGCAGAGCGCAGAGACGATGCAGAGCACATAGATGATGCAGAGGAGTAGGATGAGGAAGAGTACGAGGGGTTTGACGTGGAGGTGAGCGGCAGCGACGTCAGCAACGACGAAGAGGACGATGACAATGATGTGTACTACGATCTCAAGACGGCCTGTGGAGAAGTAACCAAAGGTTGGGCACATGCAATCCTCAGGTTGGCACGAGTATTTCCCGATCCGCACAACGTGCTGCGTGTGGTGTTCAAGGGGGCGACACCTGATGGCGCAGTGCAGTATGATGCAGTGACCAGCATAATGCAATCCTGCAACAAGGGGAAAAAATGGTCACGTGTCGGCAAGGGATGGTTTGTTCTGGTGAACAGAGAGGCTCAACATCGCTGACATGGGGACTGAACCTGAGCTGCCTCCTGCATGGCGCAGTGGCCACAGCTTGGGGAGAGACTTTGCACCCCGGCTTGTCAACAGGGGACGCAATAGTTAGTGCTCGGCCACGGTGTCAGGCGGCCACAAGCAGTGTGCCGCCTGAAAGCTGGGGTTTTGGATCTTAGGTTCAAAGACAAGTCCGTGTTTTGACGGTACTCCGGGTAGGCCAGACAACA